GGGGGGGGGGGGGGGGGGGGGGGGGGTAGAAAAGTTATTCAGCGATCGTGTGTATGCGTATGCGTGTGGGGACACGTGTAATTATAATAATCATAATAACAACAGAATCATCGGAAATCGATGACGAAAGTTTACAGTGAAATGATCGCGTTCAAACGAGAGCAAGAATGAAAACCGCCGGTTTATTATTGGGTTATACCGCCGAGACCGAGGAACAATCGCGGGAGGAGGGCGATATACCGTGAGCTCCTCTCTCCTCGTTTAATCGGACACGCCAGTCTCGCGTATCTTAAACACGTACATTTGAATCGAAAGAAGCTACCTGCACCCCGGAGGAACCAGAGGGCAATCGTCGCGGAAGTTGATGTTACGTCCGCCTGCGAAACGAGACAGAAGCCGCTCTCTCTCTCTCTCTCTCTTTCTCCAAATCTCAAGGGATCGGGGAATGATAGTAGATGCGATTCGGAAAGGCGTTTAGAAGCACTTCCTGTGGACGATGGAAGGTCCGGACTCGTCGTACTCCTGCTTGGAGATCCACATCTGTTGGAAGGTGGAGAGCGAGGCGAGGATCGAGCCGCCGATCCATACGGAGTATTTCCTCTCGGGCGGCGCGATGATCTTGATCTTCATGGTAGACGGCGCTAAGGCGGTGATCTCCTTCTGCATCCTGTCGGCGATACCCGGGTACATGGTGGTACCGCCGGACAACACGGTGTTGGCGTAGAGATCCTTACGGATGTCGACGTCGCACTTCATGATCGAGTTGTACGTGGTCTCGTGGATGCCGCAGGCTTCCATACCTAGGAACGAGGGCTGGAAGAGCGCTTCCGGGCAACGGAATCGCTCGTTGCCGATGGTGATGACCTGTCCATCGGGCAGCTCGTAGCTCTTCTCCAAGCTGGAGGACGACGCGGCCGTGGCCATCTCCTGCTCGAAGTCCAACGCAACGTAGCAGAGCTTCTCCTTAATGTCACGGACGATCTCGCGCTCGGCCGTGGTCGTGAATGAGTATCCTCTCTCGGTGAGGATCTTCATGAGATAGTCGGTCAGATCGCGACCGGCCAAGTCCAGACGGAGAATCGCGTGCGGCAGAGCGTATCCCTCGTAGATCGGCACGGTGTGGGAGACACCGTCGCCGGAGTCGAGCACGATACCGGTGGTACGACCGGAGGCGTACAGCGACAACACGGCTTGGATCGCCACGTACATGGCGGGCGTGTTGAACGTCTCGAACATGATCTGCGTCATCTTCTCGCGGTTAGCCTTGGGATTCAGGGGCGCCTCGGTGAGGAGGACCGGATGCTCCTCGGGAGCCACTCGCAGCTCATTGTAGAACGTGTGATGCCAGATCTTCTCCATGTCGTCCCAGTTGGTAACGATACCATGCTCGATCGGATACTTCAACGTCAGGATACCTCTCTTCGACTGGGCCTCGTCACCGACATAAGAATCCTTCTGCCCCATGCCGACCATGACACCCTGGTGACGCGGCCTTCCGACGATCGACGGAAAGACGGCACGGGGAGCGTCGTCTCCAGCGAAACCGGCCTTACACATACCGGATCCATTGTCGACTACGAGCGCAGCAACCTCTTCGTCGCACATGTTTGCTCTCTTGTTTTATCTGTAAAGATAAGACTGCTATTAGTATTCCGATATATACCAGTGGAGAATATCGTATATATCTATCGTCGCGGTCGTGTGTGAACCTTCGCACGCGGCTATTCCCGTCGCGTATTGAGGCGTGATCCGCAATCTATCGGCAATCGATTGCAAATAAATTATAACAATAATCCCCCGTTGGCGTTTACCCGGAAGAGCGGAAACCCGGGGCTGGGGAGATGAACAGACGCGTTATAATAAATACCGTATTAGCCGGCGTTCGCTCTCTCTCTCTCCCTCTCGAGACACACTCAAGATGGCGACGGGCGACACGTAACGCAGGGCACGCTCGCGCACCGAACGACTGAATCACGCTCTCCGAAGTGAATCGCGCGAGATGAGGATGGAAAAGTGGCCCCACGTATTCATTAAAAACGCCAGCCTAATAATCGCTAGCCCGAACACGACGATGACTCAATGAAGATCCCCTCCTACGGACGGATGCGCAAGAGAGAGAGAGAGAGAGAGCAACGTTATCGTTAATTATCGGAACCGCACCCTGTCCCGTTCCGCCCCGCCCTTTCGTGGCCGTGCGAAATCGGTTAGCCTCGCGCGAACGCAACGTCTCCGAACGTTTTCCAGGCTATTTCGCGAATCTTCTTGCGAATTCGCACGCGACACGGCGGCCCGTGTTATCCCGTGCGTGCTCCGATCGCCCTGCTCGACGCGCTTCTTCGAGACATCCGGCGAGATCCGCGACGGTCTAAATTCGCAAACGACGACCCGCACAATGAAGCACTCTGAAATCGACGCCCTATCGCGCACCACCCAACACACCCGTCACTTGAGAGTACGCACTACGAAGTCCGGTAAATGTTCGCCGATGCGCACTGTCTCTATCTCCTTCGGTTCTTTTTTTTTTTCTTTCTCTCTCTCTCTCTTTCTCTCTCGCTTTCCTCACTACGATTGATTCGCAAAAACTCGAGAGCCTGCTGCGACCATTGTTAAACTATTAAATGCTACATGCGGGCTTATGACGGAGCACTTTTGCGAACTTACATTTCTCGTGTAAAAAAGGAAGTTATGTACAAGTTCTACGCAGCGACACTGCCGCACTGTCGACCGATCCAGCACCGAACACAGAGTGTAGTCGACGATCGGAGCCGCGGTGTATTATATGAACAGATTCGTTGTGAACCTCGACCCCACTACTCAGCGCTCGGCCAATAAGGGTGGGACACCCTCGACCAATCCCGGCTTTCTTTACCATATATGGAAGTACTCTGACACGGAGGGGCTTTCCGCTCTCCCCCTCGGCCTCCCGTCGTCGGCCGCCCGCTCCCACCCCCCGGTCGCCCGGCGCAACGACAAGCCGGTGTGTCGGTCCCACGACACCCGGTGTGAACGAGTCCGCTGAATTGACCGTCGAATCTCTATATGCAGGTCTCTTCACGATCGAATCGATCAAAGGAGATCCGCGACGACCCTCCTTCTCGCGGATACTGCGAATAAATTCCGTCCAGGACTCTTTTTCGCGCGACAGTCGCGGACGACGTCGACGGAGAAAGAGAGACACGCGCTCGCCAGGTGGAAATCTCAGCAATTCCATGTACTTCCTCCGGGCGCTCTCGAGCTCTCGCGCGCGCGATCGAGCGGAAGGAAGTTCGGTCGATCGTACGGTCCGTGCATGATCACGAGAGAGAGAGAGAGAGAGCTGTGAAACAAAGCGGTAAACAAGCGAGAACGCGTCGTAAACGCCATGGGTTAGCCGAGAGACTCGCTGGCGCATCAGCGCTATTAATAAGCCTGGTCGCAACCACCTGTCCCGAGGTCCGGGAACCACTTGACGACGGCAACCTGTCGCCTCGACGTAGCGCGCGCGGCTCGGCCGGGAAGAAAGGGAGAAAGAACAAGCGGCGTCGAGAACGCTTTGTCCGGCGCGAGAAAATAGAGAAGCGCGAACGGCGCATTCGTTACACTCAGAGCAACGCCCTGTCTACTTGTCCGACCGGCCGCCATGGCGGCGTGAAGCCGGCTAAAGAAAAATGTCAAGATGCAAAACCGCGAGCCGATTCGTTCCGATCGAGAGGAACGGCGCGTGACGATATCTCGTCGGCGGTCTCGCCCTTACCTGTTTCTCGACACAAGCAGCGTTGACGACCGAGAACCGTGGTCCTCGCGATCGGGCAGAGCAGGCTGACAATGAGTACTATCGGGGAGCGGAGCGGCGACACCACCAGCGGCTACGAAACGAGCACTGCGTAGCACCGCGAACGTTGTGAGCGAGATCGTGCGGCTGGACAAGCCGTGAGCCGGTATCGCGCCGCCTCGCGCGCGTCACGTCACGTTACATGGACTCGCCCGGAGGGAGGGGTGGTCGGCATACGGAGACTCGTTCACGGGCTCCCTCGCTTCCCCTCTGAAAATCCATGCGGCCCGGCCCCGAGGTTTTCCGCGGCCGCGAGCTTCGCCGGAAAGACTTTTTCCCGGAAGGACGAGAAAGGAACAAGATGAACAGACGAGAGATGAATAAATCGCATTTTCCGCTTATCATTTCCTATCCACGTCACGCGGGATAGGAGGGGGGCGCGGGTAGGAAGGTGCGCGGGGGTTATCCGTGTACCGGTCTGCCTGGTACCCCTCTGTCCGCGCAATAGACTCGTCCACCCGGCTTCTCCCACCAGGCGGATTCACAGCTCTTGCCATATATGGGCATAAAACGAAAGCGACGCGGCGATTGGTCCGCCGGCCGGCTGGCGGCTAGATTCTCCAAATGCCGCTTCAAATCGTACGATACAGAAGAGAGCATAATGTCTTCTCTTGGAAGGATACACGCCAGCTCGTAAGGGCTCGCTCGACTAACCGTCGTCGCGGCTTGCTACCTGCCTGGCTCGCCGCGCGGCCACGCGAGTGACGACGCCTATTGCCCGTCGTCGATCCATGCGACGGCATTTCGAGATTCCGCGCGTCCAAAGCCGTTCGAAAGCTGTTCGTTTTCTTCGCGAACGTGCGCTGGCGCCGCTCTCCTACGATGTCGTGACGCGAGTACAATGATCTCTCTCTCTCTCTCTCTCTTTTTTTATCTGGATCTTTTTTTATGCGAGGCTATTAAAGTTGAATTTATATACGATGACAAAGAGGGGACGATAAGAGCCGTGAGTCTCACGACTTTATCGTGGCGTTTGCTTTCGATCGAAGAATCGCTTGCGATCGTATTTACTAGAAACTATGGTATATCTCTCTTTATCTGTCCGCGTATCAACAATAGGTGCGCCTGGAAGCGACTTTCGCGTCCGAAAGTCGCATTTCCGCCAAAGAGAGAGAGAGAGGGAACCCTGGCGAGCCCGCGAAACCATGGGCGCGCTTTCGACGTCTCGCAAATGCGACATTGTAAAAATAGATTCAAGGGCAGAATGCAAGGGTGCGTTGCACTTTCGCCACGTCACACAGCCGGCAACGTTCACGCTCGTGGTGCGCCGGTAATACCGGATAATACTACTATACAGATATAACCGCGGCGGCGGCACCAGGCGCTCCAGACCGGTCGCTACGTGGGAGAGAGGCCCGCTTCAAAATCGATACGCTCCTTCTCGAAGCTGTCTCGTGGTCGCGTAGCCGAGCACGTGACCGGCCACGGCAGCGGACGCATGAAAGGACGGAAGGACGACCGCTGCATTCTTCCGTATTCGGAAGAAACTGCCGCGAGAACGAGACACGGCGGCTGATAAGCTGTGCCGATGACGATAAGAAATCCGTGGTTCTCGTTAGATTTGATTAAGCGAGAGAGAGAGAGAGAGAGAGATAGTGATATTTATTGCGCACTCCGGGACATAGTCCTCCAAAGCGCAGAGCGCAATATGCAACAAATTTGTAACATTAACATAATTACTTATATTTAATAATGAATTTACAAAGGGAAAAAGAATGATATTAGATATGAGATAATCTTTCTTAAAATGAATCAGTGATATTGTTTCTGATTAAATAAATAGGATATATTTCACCGATATCAATGAATATTTATTAATTTACAATTAATGTACTCTTATTTATGTCCTCCTATACATTGAAAAATATATTTGGTTAGATTTATCTGACAATAGACACCAAACACGAAGGAAACAAAATTTCTAGCTTTCGTGAATTAATGATAATTAATGATAACTTGATTCTTTCGACCGAAAATACTGTTTCCTTCAGTGCAGGTCCTTCTATTTTACACTTCATTTTTTGGCTAGTAATAGCAAGATTCCATTGCAAAATTCGTGGTATTCCATTGACTATTGTTAACTAGATTCTTTCAGCGAAGCTTTACTAATTGCGGTGCTATACTTTTCAACTGATTTCTCAGTGATAATACTGATTCCACACTAGAGAGATAATAACATAAAAACATATTTGTCATAAGAATTTCAATTTTGGTAATTAGAAGAACGATTTCGCCATGTACGGAGCAAATATTGTAGGAAAAATTACATCAAAAGTTTGTAATACTGGAATATATACCGGAATCATTATCGAAATTACTATGTATGTTGTAATCTTTAGTGACGTATATCATGTGTGTACACATCACTAGAGACGAGACACGTAGTAATTTTGATGATACTTCTGGTATGTTCCAGCATTACAAACTTTGGTAGTCATTTTTACCGCAATATTCTCTCCGCGTATCTCCTGCAGTATAACATGTTTTACATATATAGTATAAAAAGCAGGTGTGTTAGATTAGCGTCCAAAAAACTAATCAGCATTAACCAAATCCTTAATTAGTTTAAAAACTGGAGATATTTATACAATCTAGTTCTAAAATCTATCTCTTTTCGTTCTACATTTCTACGTTCTTGATAGCTGATGACAGTTCATTCTATAGTCTTGCTGTAGTTATCTTGAAAGAACGTCTGTAACTCTCAGTACGACACTGCAAAATAGTAATCACATCACCTCTCATGGTTCTCTCATGGAGATCTCTCATGGAGATATCATGGTTCTTTTAGCCTTTTCAGATTTAAAAGAGAGCATATAAAGAAAAAGCTTTCTTTAGATTTAGTATTTCTATTTATTTGACTAACATTTGTTTCATACAGACAACATATACGAAATATTACTTGTTTGAGTAAAAATTTTATTGTCTCATTCAAGAAAACTCTATTATTTAACAGAAAGAACGCTATTATTCGAAATAATATCTTTTAACCAAATAAAGATATTATTTGGTTGCAATAAATATGTAAAATTAGACAAATAATTTCTTTATAAGAAAATTATCTTTCGTTTCAAATAAGTTTTTATTTAAGATAAAGATACATATTTGTTGAAAAGTCTAACAATCGCACTTATTAATCGAAACATTCGTTTTTTTGGAGCATGCCAACGATAAAATTTGTTTGGATGCAATAAAATTGATTAAATTTGAATAAATCTTTTTTTCAGTGCAGAGAGAGAGAGAGAGAGAGAGATCTGTAAGTTCAGCGCGCGCCGCGCCGATGATTCAGCCGCGACGTGCGTCCCGAAATCGTCCCGCGCGCTCGATTCACTTAACGAATGTGCGTAGCTGTTCGTCATCAACGATTACGACTTCGCGTAATCGTTACATCCTGCCGATTTCGGCCAAATTCGGCAATCGTTGATGACTTAGCGCGACGTGCACCGGAGCGCCTATCGGGCGACATTCCGATCAGTAATCGGGCCTCAGGACGAAATAATTAGCACTGATACACGTCCGTGTCCCGCAGACCCAATGACCCGAGCCGCTTCGACCTTGTCCACCAAATAAGGTCTCGCGCCAAGGTCTCTCGGAAGAGTCGCGCGTAAGGCCCCCGAGAAATCGCGGCTGCTTACAATCGAATCATCGACGCGCTCACCTCGGCGAGCAGGACGCACGTGAGCTCCGGTGCGTGTTCTTATCATGATTGGATTGAACGACTCAGAGGCCACTCTCGCCGGACACGTCATCTTCGAGTGAGTACGCGCGTAAAGCCGTTCGGGGAACACATTTGAGTTGATGAGAGATCGTCAGTCGGAATCGAATCTCGTCTGTTTCAGGATTCGGCGTATTTGAGATTCGCATCGCTGAATGATTTCAGCGACGATTGACGCAGCCTGAGAAGAAGAGTCGGGGCCTACAGCCGGCTTGAAAACGAGGAACTCGCCTAGGTGGGCG